GAAGACATCAAATGCGATCAAAGAGATGACCTTTCATATTCACAATATGAAATGTAAACACAGGTAGAGAATCAAGATGCAACCTGACAGCAGAAACAATTCCAGAATCATAATTAACATTGTGAAAAAGCAACAGACACTATTTGGTACAGGAGAAGCTGGTTTACACTCTGCCAAGGTGGGTTAATCAAAATGATAATGAGATGGAGGCTGCACAAGGTTTGCCCTTTTGAGTATAGGGTGCCCCTCAGAGAGCATATTATCATTTTAAGACTAAAACCTGATAGGAGAAAAGTTAAATTCATAAATTCTTAGCTCGGTTTGTAGTCAGTTATGAATTCACTTACTTAAACAAAATTATTTAGCTCCTAAAAGCATTTTACAAAAATAAAAGAATATTTTTTAGTAATTTGATGGCTAAGATATTGCAGTGGCCATCATGCTTGCCTGTCAGATTAGTTTCAACTCCCTGAATTTTTATCATTTCTGAAAATCATTAAAAAAAAAAAGGCAAAGGGTTAAATCTCTATGCATCTACAATCTTATTCACAGTTGTTTCTAGTGTCTCACTTCACACATATTTCTTTTTCTTCATCTTCACATTCTCTTTTTGTGTTGTTATCAATATATGGTCATCTCAACAGTCAAGAGAAAACATTTTAGCTTCCCAGTGCTGCCAAAACTGTAGCATGAAACAGTTTTTGAGCAATTTAAACCATAACTATAGAAAAGAAAAAGGACAAGTCAACAAGTACATATTTTTAGGTACACACAAGGTGATGTGGTCACTTTATCATGCAATTCTTCATACTTCCCCAGAGGTCTACTCATCAACAACATTATGAGCCCCCCCCCCCTCCCCCCCTTTTCCAATTACAAATGAGTGTTAAGAAAATTCAACAATATAAGGAATTCAAGACATTAGATCAGCGGTTCTGTGGGTACCAACGAAAATAATTTTATGGTTGGGGGTCGCCACAACATAAGGAACTGTAATAAAGGGTTACCGCATCAGGAAGGCTGAGAACCACTGGACTAACCACTCTGCTGTCACTGACTACTAAAGATAAAATGAGTTTTTTTTTTTTAACTTTCCCAAGTACATATTTCATACAACACAGAATTGACTGCACAGGTGAATACAATGTTTAAATAGCCAAGTGATATTTCATTACTCCAAGTGAAGACAGACAATGCTAAAATAACCATGTGATATTTCATTACTCCAAGTGAAGACGGACAATGCTGATATAACCATGTGATATTTCATTATTTCAAGTGAAGACAGACAATGCTGAAATAACCATGTGATATTTCATTACTCCAAGTGAAGACAAACAGTGTTGAAATAGCTATGTTATATATATATATATATATATATATATATATATATAATATATATATTATATATATATATATATATATATATATATATATATATATATATATATATATATATATATATATATATATATATATATATATCTGTTTACTCCAAATGACAGAAATATTAAGTTTATTCAATTATCACAATAATCTCATAAAAATTTAAAATGCCAGAAAACAAAATGGAGCCAATATAAAATTGACAACAAAACAACTACAGTTCACAATGTTCTGTGAAAAAAAGAAGTTAAAAACTGCAGTAATAATCACACAACATTGTGTTTATCAATTATAAAGTCTAGTAAGAAACTAAGAAAGGTAAACAAACATGGCACTTAAGATGCTGATAAAGTACAAAGAAAATGCAAATCTGTACATGCCATTTCAAGTCATTACATCCTATTTTATGACAAGATGGAGATGACAATGTGCTTTTTTTTCTTTTTCTTTTTAATATTAAGATTGATGATTAAATGACAATAAGCTGTAATATAATAAGAAAAGTTACAATTTCATTTATAAATGTTACTAAATAATAATAATAATAATTGCAATCACAAGAGAAAAAAAAAAAGACAGGAAGGCCTAAAATAAAGAAAACAAAGGAAACATGTAAAGAATTAAAATACTTTGACAAACTGGATACTAAATTTAATTAAAATGATTATAGTTCAAAAAGGAAGCAATTAGCTGCCCCTGGCTTGAATTAACTTAATCATGAGATTATTTTTGTGACCATTGGTTTGCATGGGTTCAGATCCATCACCAATAACCAAAGCCCTTGAAAATCACCAGGATTAAATAAGCATCAACTTTGTGAGTTATGAGTTGGGTTATTTTCACATCACTCTGGACACGTCAGTAGGTGCTCGGAATTGCTCTTCAACATATACATCTTTATTCTTCTTCGCATTCACCAGGCGTAAACTCTAGCGGGAAGTTCTGGTTGTTCATCCACTTCTGGACTGCAGTCCTGTTTCAGAACCTGAGTGTTCCGTGTGCTGATGTCTGAGAATCTAGTTTAAAGCCATGTGGACATGTTTTACAGATCTGACTCATCTGGATGCAGACTGCTGGTTCCTTGCCTCTGTCTCAGGCAGATGCATTCTGACTTCGAAGGAAGCTCCCAATCAATCACTATTTCAAATATCATATTTGCATCTCATACTGTCAGTGTTATGTCCTCTGCTGACCCATCAGTGGCATTTTATTTCTCATATATGCCCTGTATTGTGAAAATACGTCTGGAATAATTAAATATCCCTGGCAAAAACTCTCTTGATTCACTGACATAAACTTATGTCAATTTAAATTCCTTGACAACACATTCCCCACCACAGCTTTAATTAGGAAGCCATCACTTGACAAAATGTTTACTAATTTTTGATTCAACTTGTTTAGTTAACATCAAGAAACAAGATCCAATTCAATTAATCAATTAATACAAGTCCGAACTGCAAACGTTATGTAGTTCAGATAAATCCACCCCAAAATGTATACAAACATTATCAAAAATTAAGTTGTTGCCATGATATTACAATTTTGAAGCACTGGTATGCAATCTTTTACCCTTACACTTAGCTTGAATAATTTCACTTTCCCCAACACAGCTATCCCTGTAAAACCTATGGTATTTTGAAAGCATAATGCATTATATCAGTCTGAATGAATAATTTCAAAGTGTAATATTTAATTTAAAACATGGAAATAATCAATGTGTGATTTAGATACCTAAAAGGGAAAACTGCAGTGAAAAACAATGAGAATATACAAGAGGTCGAATGATTTAGCTTGCCTGCTTCTTAAACAAAACTGAAGACATGCTGGCCCACTATGTGGCTTCATATCCATCTTGTGCCTAGAGCTGTTGCTGATGTTTTTACTTCTATAGTATACACTGAAACTATAGATAAATCAGTAATTACATTTGGCCATCTCAATCTCTTTTCTATCCTGACAATTCAATGTTTCTTAACCATTACTGTAGTTGTGTATTTAGTTATGTGCAGACAGAAGCAGCATAATTTGTAAACATATAAAAGTCAATCTGGAATTATTTTAATGAAAGTAATGAGATAATGTGATAAAAAAAAGTAAGCAATATATAGAGAAAAGCAATCTGAAAATCAAAAAAATAAAATAAAAGACTAATTAGCTGCCCTGGGCCTGGATGAAGAAACATAGCCAGCATGTTTTTTTTAAATCTGAAAATCACTGAGACCCTTGGCTAGAAATGTACATATTATCTGACTGCACCTCAGTCAGGAAAGAACCCATACTGACCAAGTTATAACAATGATATCAGCAAATGAATAATGTAAACATTTTCACCATCGGTGTTAAAAAATATGCAATCAAATGCCAAGTTTATCAATAATATCTCAATGATGAGCTAAATCTGACCCAGATTTGCTATAGAGGTTCAGACTGTCTCATAGAGCACACTGGTTATCCTTTATTGTTCTGAAATTCAAACTAATGACTAGAAAAATCTATATGGTGTCTGACATAAGATTTTTAGAATATTTGTTTCTCAATTTAAAACTGTCATAACTTTACTTGCTTTTCTTTAAACTCCCCTTTCTTTAAAATACATTTTTTAATCATGCATCCGAATATGAAAAATGCCCACTGAAGGTGTCAGCAATTTCTTCAATTTCAATAATACTGCTCACAACAATCTACCAATATATACTTTAAAAGATCTCTCTCTGCTTTTTAGACAGACGTGTTTTAGTTAATTCCATTTAACATGAAAGTCAACTACATTCATAACTGATTTTTGACAGCAAAAAAAAAAAAAAAAAGACACAAACAGATCATTCAGCCCATGAAATGTGAACAGGAGTCATAACATTTAATGCAATTGCTAATTTTTTTTTAAATTCAGCCAAGCTAAAAATCCCTGTAAAATATCAGTAGTAAAATCAGCCTGTAAACAAACAAACAAAATGCACAGATGAAAACAGAACCGATCCAAATTTACTTCTGAGCTCCCTACAGGGAACTAGAGTTAGTTAATCTGAATCATGAGTGGATCATCAAGTTTCTTCCAGCTTAAATGATAATAGAACCACTGGTCTCATCCTGTTCATGGAATGGCATTGGCAAGTGGAATTATAAAGTTCAGATTTCAGAAACAGAATTGTATTGCAGCCATCATCTAAAAGTTATTACTCTAAGCTCAAGTAATGGCACTCAGAACATCTAAGGTTACCTATTTTCTAAACGTACCATTAGCAAACAGCAGAATTGTATTTTTTGCAGTCAAAATGAACTAATCTGAAAATGGTATGAGCCCATAAACAGAATCTGAAATCTTAGTTTAAAAGATAATAGAAACATGTATTACTAGATGTGATTACAGAAGAATGAGAGGCAAGCGGATCAAATGTAGGCCATGAGGTTAATGCACAGTGAAGATACTGAATGTCAACAATTTGTAACAATGACAAAAATGAATATTTCTGAATGTATAAAACATCAACAATCAACATGGATAAAACTTCTAACAAATTCTAAACATGTGAAAATAATAATGTACATATTTACAACCAAATCTGATCAGTTATGGAAATATAACTGAAGAAACCTCTATCATTTCAACATTCATGTCACATCCCATACATTTCAATGCCATTATTTCTCTTGTGCTGCAGACAACAGCAAATGACAGCCATTAAGCTAGTAAGCTCCTCTGTAGGAGGTTGCCAGCTGTCAGGTTCCAAACGGTGCCCATTAATGTACTGCAGCTTTGGGGCACCTGCAGATAGCACAGAACACATGCAAGGCAGTTGGGGTGACAGCTGCTGCATAAAACTCTTCTGCCATGGTTGTCGAGCTATTCGAAGGTGCAGCAGATTAGGCGTGCTTATTCTCTTGAGATAGAAGCCACGGCACTGTGACACATCCAGAAATGTCAGTGACGCTGATTCCACATAATACACCTCCATGCCTGTGTTATTGCAAGTTGGAATCCAAACCTGCGGGGAGAAAGTAGTAAGAGATTATTAATACTAATCATGTTTTTCAGCACTACTGTAATGGGCAAGCGCCAATTTGAGATGAGTTTCAAGAAGCATTGTGGTCAGTACTGGCATTTTTCTTTTCTAGGGGAAACAAAAGTTTTGCTGATACCTAACTAATCACAAATAATTGGCAAGTTACACAGGATCTTAAAATTTGTCAATGGGAAAATCCCAAACTACAGCTCTGCACAGACTACAACTCCATGTGGTACATACATCTCTGGGGAGCAAATATTCACTGAGATTAGTGGTCACCTCAGGGATGCCCTTTGCAGTTAGTGAGAGAGTATCACAGAGCAGGGTACCCACTTACCCTGACAAACTAACTCTTTCAGTCCAAAAGGGTTTAGCATCAAAGGTTCAAAGGGTAGTAAAGAGAGATGTAAAATCAGTGCATCTTGTGGAACCTTAGAGCGTATGATGCGTTCTTTAAGACTGAAAGACTTTGAAGGCTGAGAATCTAGTTTAAAGCCACGTGGACCTGGAAAGCAAAGGGAAAATTATCATATGATTATCCCCCAAAAATTCATCATGGTAACCTGAAATGGAGATTTCAAAGCCTGGAGAAAAATTAAAGAAAATAGAAAATCAACGAAAAGTATTTTGAAATATGCATTTCACATGGTAATATCAGCAAGGAATCATGGGCCATTCCAGTCACCGAAGAAGAAAACTATGAATTATCAACTGAAATAAAGAGCAGTAGATAGCCAAACAGTTAGGATGCTGGACTCTCATGTGGGAGACGGAGATTCAATTCCTCAGTAATGTGATAAACGTTGTTTTCTGCTGGGGACAAATATAAACTTTCGATCTTGGGGACATTTGTTGTGATTGTATTAGCCCTGCAGTTCTATATCCTCAGGCTCGAGATTTCCCCGTCCTTCACTGCTGTACAAAAATAGGTCCTATAGGATGTAAAGACACCTTTTCAGTTACAGAGCTTCAATGTTAGAAATTCTTAGAACATAATGCTTTTAGCAGAATAAAAATCATCTTCTTTCATTTCCCTGAAATAATTTGTCTAATTAGAGATTTTTATCTCACATAAATTTCACTGCCGTTTTTTGGTTCATTCAGTCACCGGTAGAGTTTACTTTCCACTATTTTTCTTTTTTGGCCAAAAGGTACTGACATTCTACATCTGAAAATCAAACCAAATTGGCCCACTAAGTACATTATATCTAGGTAATCGAAATATTTCAGCCGTATTATAGGAAAGGCATAGTTCCTAAGAAAAGAGGCAGGAAGGTGGTCATAGGATACTGAAGACACCATGGACATGAAAATGCATGGGTCAGGGAAATTTGCAAGGGATCAATCGGCATTCTATTGGGTCAAAAGGAGAGCTAGCTATACTTGCTATATGGTGACATAATATAACAGATGAGATTACTGCAGCAATTGTTACTCACACGGCACTTCATTTCTACACTATGTTTTACAAAAATCCTAACATTATAGCAAGCTACTGTGTTTAAAACAGATCATTTTTCTAAAAGGGAAAAATCAGTAGTTTAACTAGTGCCAAAGCAAACTGCAACCAGGCAGTAAAACAGATAACGGCCATGACTGTGTTACTGGGTCTCTTAACCCTCTAGCCCCGGTAACGCATTTAAACAGAAGGTCACGACTCATGAGAATTTCCAAATAAAATCCAAGGAAACATTTTTTATTTTTTATTTTACACAGGTCACTAATACATTTTTAACACTATTTATCTTCACTGTTTATTGATGGTGGGGGGATGATGAGGGAATACATATCAATATATAATAGGAGTTATCAATAAATAAGAACCTGAAGCATTAAATTGAATACATTCCTTAGGGCTTTAAAAAAAACAATTTTGGTGATACATTTCACAAGCCCATAAACTCTTTTATGAGGCTTACAGGAAAATTTGACGTCAACTGGGCTTTGTTGAATAAAAAAAAAAAATATGCGATTTTCAGATAATTTTTTTATATCCTGACCTCCTACATATTTGCGCAGGCGCAACCTCAGTCAGTAGCATTAACTATGCTATTTGTAAATATATTCCCACAGACAAGTTAAAAAAAAAAAAGAGTGACATTAACAGGGTCTTGGGCCCAGCCGGAAGTGTCAGTTTTGTGGCTTCTCTGGGCAACATGGTTAAGCAAAATAAATAATAATATTTCTGAGTGGTGTATATCCACATATTTAGGCTTCTAAAGGAAACTGGAGCAAAATCAGAGCATTTATTACAATTGTGCAACACTATTTTTAACACATCAATATTTGCTAATGTGCAGCAGATGTTTAATTTGTATGCCTGTAATCCAAACCAAACATTACAAGTCTTGCAGTAGGCTTTGTATAGAGATTTCTTCTATTTTGATACTCACCTCAAGTAGAAGCTTTTTGAGATTCACTAAGCTTCTTGTGAGCGTATTCATGAAATCCTGGGTAAAGCAGTGGTTATAAATTCCATACTTCTCCAGCACTAAGTTCTCCAGCTTTGTAAGGCTGCAGAGACACTCAAGGTTTTTATCTGACCAATCAAATGGCATCACCAGGGTCGTCAGGTGTGTTGCCACGGATACGAACGTTGAAAAAATTCTGCAGAACATTCTCTGACGTTTGCGGTATCTGTACATATAATCTTGTAAAGATTCTTGGCTAGTTCGCAACGAGGCTCTGGATGGGCTTTCCTTCCAGTTGATATCTGCATAAGTCAATGAGTTCAGTTCTGCCGTGGACATAAACTGCTCAACAACATTGTTGAACTGATCTGTGGGATGACTAATATCAAGGCAAAACTGAAATTCTTGAACTACTGGGTGAATGTGTGACAAAAACTGACTGAAAGAAAACACTCTTTTCCTGAAGCAGTGATGGCAGACTGGCTCAGTGTGTACAGGTCCACTGCGGTCACGTGGCAGGCAGGTGTAAGGGAGTGCACTAAATCTGACTGAATTCCACAACTGCGGCCTCTGAATTGAGTGATGCCAATCAGCACACACAAGCATGCAACGGCCAAGGTCACACTGTGTTAAGAAAGACCAAATTCTGAGTTTGCATAGTTCTGGCAAAAGCTGAAATGGGAAATATCTGGTGGATTCGCTTGTATCCATCGGTACCTCTGAAGATCGTGTCGCCTCATCATCCACGTTGAGATCCATCACAAGCGCAAAACTTGTGCTATGGTATCGATCCCCCTGGTTGCCGGCAGGCACTCTACGTGATACTAGGGATGTTAGGCTAACATCTCGCTTCTTCCCCGACTTCTTTCTGACCTTCTTGGTCACATGAGTACTGGGTGGCTTTCCAGCACTCATGTCTAAGCTTGTTCATGCATTCAGGCTGAATTAAAAATAAACAAAACAAATATGTTATTGTTATAATTATTTACACACATAACTTATTTTAAAACTTTCATTTTATAACTACAACTTACAACTTAAATATTTAGAAATTAATATAATACTATTAAATCATGCAATATTTCTGTGCATTTTGAACAGATATATGACATAAACACAGGAAAGGAACATCGGGTATAAGGAAACATAAATACATTATCTTTAAAAAAAAAACTCTCACTACTGTCAATATTTACTGATTTTTTTAAAGGGCCGTGTAGATGGGGAGAGGGGACACGAATTTAGGGCTGCATAGTTAGCGCTTTCACCACAGACTGCAGATTAGAATGCTCGTTTTTGCCCATGACAGAAAAATGTCCATCACCTTCCTGGGGGTTGAAATCAGGCCTCCCACATGAGAACTCAGCATTGTAATTGCTCGTTTAGCCGCTCCTCAATATATCAATTAAACATACATAATCCATACTGTGTGTTAGGTGTCCTAGAGATCATATAACTTACCACTGCAGATAGTTTCAAGGGACATTGCACAGCCTCATAGTTCTAACATCATCTTCACCTATTCATCCTCAGATGGCATCCCTATGTTTGTCAGGTGAGGTTTCATAAATCTGACAATATTATCTGCATACTGTTTGTGTGTCATTGTTTCCCTCCAGGACTACGGTCAGTAGGATTAATTCAATCAAGAGCAAATCCCAGAAACAATGTTCAAATATACAACACAATTATATTACGAAACATCTATGGTTAGGATGTAACTTTCAGTTCAGTGTCGGGGTGGGAATCAATTATCTATATATTCACAATGATGTTATACACCGTTTTGGTCATGTTACTTCCCGTGTGGGTTTCAGTGTCCCATTGTGGGACAAACAGGAACAGATCCAGTGCTCCTCTATAAGCATGTCGTAAGAGTAAACTAACAGGGAAAAAGGGGGGGGGGGGTCTTTTAAACTCAGAAGGCATCTGCCTGACAGGCAAGGAACCAACAGTCTGCATGCAAATAAGTCAGATCTGTATAATGCATGTGCATGCAACTCTCACGGCCGGCATAATGCTGACCACATAACCCACCTAATGCGAACAATATGGGATGCTCCTCCCATATGCCAGAGAGACCTAAGGCATAAAAAGAGATCTTTACTTTACTTATGCAACTCTCAGGTTCTTGAACAAGACTAATGTCCGGAGGTGTGGGAAACACTGATGATTACAGCCAGAGAACACGAAGAAGAGGAAGAACTTCCAGCAGTGACAAGAGTACTTTTATTTTATTTAAACAACTTTAAGGTTCCCTCACCCTCTTGTTAGGAATTTTTTGGAGATTGGAAAAGTGGGTATGAAAGTATAATAGAATGTGCTCACTGCCTTACCATTGCAACCTGTCATTTGCCTGTTCTGTCTCTAGACTTAGGAGTCTTTTAGCTCCGCTCTCTCAAACATTTGACTATCTCTGTCCTTATGTCAATCAGGTCACAGGCTTCCGTAGATGTTCTACCCTGTTGTCCAAGTTCCACCCTTGTGATTACGAGTATGCTGTAATTATAACATCACTAGGTAGGTTCCGTGTACTACATATGTGTGAAAATTCGCCTGCTTAGACAACTGGACCCGCTATCCTGTTTAAACCCTGGACTTCAAAGTTGTCGGCTGGTCTGAGAATGCCCGCTACGTCTCAACTCTAACCCGTGGTAATTAGCCACCCGCCTGTCCGCAAGTTCAGATGGTCATGTCTTCTGTCCGTCCGACTGGAAGATTGCATAATTCTTCAAACGAAGATGCGTTCCCTGGTCCAGCTGTTATGCTAACGTTAAATTCCACTGAGATAAACTACTGGTTCGTCAGACACTTTGATCGCTGCTAGGAAGATCGCCTGGGTTAGCTGTTCAGTTACCTCATTGTGTTTCACTTTGTAAAGGTTTCTGTTGGGTTTGTGTACTTTCTTTGCTTTTAGAAGGAATTCTGGACTCACCGAATGCACCTCGTCACAGTCTCTTTGTGAATTTGTGCACTTGCGTGGATAATTGCTTATCGCCTCCATACGAATTTGTGCACTTGCGCTCAACAGCAAAAGTGAAAACTGATGATGATGATCTAAACATTGCTACCCATCGACACAGCGCTTCAATGGATCGAAAATTATTCTTTCCCACGGCGCTTCAGTGGATCAAAAACTATTTATCCACACGCCGCTTAACTTTAAACATTGCGCAGAAGCCCCACTGCACTTCAGTGGATCAAAAACTATTTCTCCCCACGACGCTTAACTTTAAACATTGCACAGAAGTGGAAACTGATGATGATGGCCTCAATTATTATTTCATGGCGCTCAACGGCAGAAGTGAAAACTGATGCATGGCGCTCCAAAGGATCGAAAACTATTCCTCCCCATAGCACTTAGCTGTAAACATTGCTATCTATTGAACAATAACGGCAGAAGTGGAAACTGATGATAGTGGAAACTGATGATGATGGCCTAAAATCTAAATCATTATTGGTTCGTATTCCGCTTTTATATTATAGTTGTTCCTGTTCCATATTTTTGTTAACCTCTTTATAACCCCTTGAGGCTCTAAAAGGGATGTTTTGGACAGTAAATAATTTGGGACCTGTATTCGGAAGAGTGCTGGAAGTTTTGTTAAGTTGGTACCAAGCAGGGAATTAGATGCAGTGCCATATCATAGTTAGAATTATACATCTGCATTTGATTATTTTAAATTGGATATGTGGAAAATAGTATTATTAATGTGTTAATTTATATCTAAGTAAGGGTACTCAGGTACTTTCATGTATTTTAAATTATTCAGTAATTCAATTCAAATTCAGCACAACACAGTTACTGGCACTTTCCAATATGCTAACAAACTCTTTTCATAAAATAGTGCCCAAAACATTTTCTACTGATAGTGAATTTAATTAATAAAGTAGCCAGCTATCTTTCGACTTTTACTTTCTAGGTCTCTTATAATTTTTACTTATATTTATATCAAACTTTCGGCTAGCCACACTTTCTAAACTTTCTATACGTTTTTTTTAATAACATGCGTATGCATGCACTAACAATCAGATTATATAAAATCTGTCAGAGCCCTCCTACTCAATGTTAAATAACTAACTGTTTAAAATACTTATGAGTTTAACATCAACAAAAAACATTTTAACTTCACAATTTGGTCATTTTATCACCCCCCCCCCCCCCCCCTCCCCCACCCACCCATCATCAACCGACTTTTTTTTCAACAGCTTAGATGTTATAATTTACAGCTTGCATTTTAAATAACATGTAAAAAACCTGACACAACTCATAATGCACAGTCTTACCTTCGCTAAGCTACATGTTGTACTAGAACGAGGGAGGCAGAAGCTGCTCCCATGAAAACGGACAGAACCTGCTGGAGTTGCAACAACTTCTCTTCAATCTTCATCCAACGTTCTCTCCGCTGGCTGGCCCTGAACCACAAAAAGCTGAGCTAATCCGGAAATGCGGTCATCCCGGCTATTTTTAGATGCAAACCCCGGTACCAACTCGGTCCCCGCCCTCCGTACCGTTGACTGGGTGATCACTCTGGTAGATATTTTCCTACAGCACGATTGGGAGTTATTATTTAATAGGGTTGTAGTTGGAGTTGTTGCTTCGAACCCAGTGTGACAGTGAAAGAAGACCCGGGTGTAGACTGGGAGAAGCCCGAGCTACCTACTCTCTCTCTCTCTCTCTCTCTCTCTATATATATATATATATATATATATATATATATATATATATATATACATACATACATACATACATACACACATACACACATACATACATACACACATACATACATTTCCCCTAAAATGTTGCTGTTGTTTCTTTCCGTTTGCGTTCACCGGCTGTAAACTCCGCGGAAAGACCTGGTTTTTTGTCCGGCCGCATGGGTCACATTTGTGTCCTTATGGGGCCACACGCTACAACTAATTTCGCTTTCTGTTGAGTCTGCTGATGGGGTCTTGTGAATGTTTACTGTTAGTTTGTTCTCTCCCAGTAAACATCCACAAGACACGTTTACGGTTTTTCCCTGAGCCTTCACCTCCTCTTCCTCGCGTTCACCGGCTGTAAACTCCTGCAAAAAGTACTGTTTGTTCGTCTACTTCTAGACTTGAGTCTTCTCCTAGAACTTGAGTGTTGCGTGCATATCCGTTTACAGTCTGATATATTTGTGCGCAGACTGTTAGTTCTTTCCTCTCAGGCATATGCACTTTGACTCCGAAGGAAGCCCCGAATTAGTCGAATCTTACGACCTGCTTGCCGGGGAGACAGGGGGTTTGTTCTTTTTTTACTCCGCAGTGGAGCTCTGGAATCTACACAGGAAGTCCTGAGGCCTGATATATCGTTTTAATGATAATTTGTGCCACGTCCGGTTCAAATATATGTGCAATTCCGACCTTTATCAGAGATGGCAAGTGTTGACCAATCAGACTTGTTCTTTAAGAAGTATTTGTTGATTTCATCATCATGGCACATCGGGCAAACCTATATATGCTCTGTCTCCTGCAGCAAATGACGCATGATGTAGATGCTAATGCTAATTGTTCCCGTAGCACACTGATTATACACACGCCGATCTCTTCCTCTCATCTATACCTCCTTGCCGGATCCACACCTTATTCCTCATTAACACATTCTTGCCCATGTTATTTCATTTAATCTCGTGTCTTCTGCCAAAAGTCGTTCACATATGGTCTTCGGAAAATCTCCCTTGTCCAATGCGAGTGTTCCCGTAGCTTTCGCTGTTGTAGCCAGAAAATCCGTTCTTTCATTGCTCTCGCACTCCTGCATATCACAGACAGCATATCCTCGTGATTCCCTTCCGCAATGCTGACTGAGAATCAGACACAATAATTCCTGTGGTAACTTTTTTTTCTGCTATCCATTTCAGAGCTGCAGTGATTCCCTCCACTTCCATTCTCAT